AAAGGTTAAAACAAGAATATCTAAATTTTATTAATAAGGTAAAAATTCTGAATTAAATTACAACTCTGAATTGAAAACCTATTTATAGTATAAGCCATGTAAATAATAAGGAAGAAAAAATAATCTTCTAATTAATGATAAAAATTACATAGGAAATTAAATTTAGACTAAAATAGAAAACTAACAAAAATTAATAAAATTACAACTAAAATATGATATATATGATTTTTATATTAAAAAAATTTTTAAATAGGAAATATCTTAATTAATTGTGGTTGATTTAGGGGAAGAGATTCTGCCAAGTTATTTCCATCTTTCTCAAGTATTTTCCTTTTCTGCGAGATTTAGCATTTAAAAAGTTTTCTGCTTTCTCAAGATAGCTTGTAATTTTAGAGCAATTTCTCCTCTTGGTTGATCTTTAATTGTAAAGATTTTCTACATTATCAATAAATAAAATTTCATGAGAATTTTTCTTTTTCATGTCTTGCAGAATTTTTTTCATGTTTATTTCCCTCTTGCACTTGAGGTGAATAATATATATTATTATACAATTGGGTTAATGGTCATGTTGTCTTCTTTTTTTGAACTTCTTTAATGGGTCCAAACCTATCTTTCTCATTGATCCACGTTTTGATAAAAAATTGGAACATTTGTTGTAATCTTTTAGCTCTCCCCCTCATAATGTCACTTGGCATTGAGATATTCCTACCGCCAATATGATCCATGTCCACGCTCTCATCAATTTTCTTCTTATTTCCTTTATATATATATACACACACACAAAGGCTAACACATATATATACATGTGCTTTTCTTCACTGATTGGTCTGGTCTTGACAATCAGTGAAGCTATTCGGCTTCATAAAAAAAAATTTGCAATATATATATACACATATATATAATTTTTTTTATAATTTTTGAAAAATAGATCTGAATCCATAAAATCAAAAAAATTATATTTAAAAAAATAAAAAATTGTTTTTGAATCCATAATTTTGTTTAAAAATTGATCAAAAAGTTAAAACCTAAAACTATGTATTTTCATACATTGAATGCGGAATTTTAATGCAAAAAATCAGTAAGCTGAATTCAAAAATACTTACATTAAAGATCTAATATGGGGTGGTTATGATATCACTTGTAGGTATTTCAAAACTAGATTTAAAATCTAAATAAACATACTCATATTAAATTAAAGAAATTAGATATATAACGAGAGCGTATCTGAATCTGTGACGGAGTAAATTTATATATACTATGATAAATCTTTTAACTTAGAACGTAATATTTGAGTTCTCACTCTCTCTCTATTTTTAGAGTTGAGATATTAAAATATAAAAAAAAAATCATAAGTGAAATTTAGGGATTTAACCGCTTATTTATTGGCAAACTCTACATGTGAATTTTTTATATTCCTAATTTGATCAATAACAAAATTAAGAATTACTGATTTGGTCTATACACATAA